TGCCGAGAAAACCTTACCACCCAAAATTAAAACGTACTAATATGCCGAAACAACCAGAGAAAGAAAATGTCGGTCCAGTCGATCGAGTGTATCCTAACTCCTTCCACTAATCTCTTCATCATAGATGACAGTTCAGCACATACCGTGTCTCCTATCTGGACTATTTTAACGAAGGAGACCTAGGAAGAACCAGTCCTTTTACTGAGTGTAAGTGAGCCTTCAACTATTCATACCTCATTGAGTTTGCTTCATAAGTACTCAACTAGTGGGGCTATTGCTATAAGTGACCATACTCGTCCGTTAAAAAACTAGGGTAGTTAGATGAGACAGTGATAACGGGTAAGAGACGATCAGGGAGGGGGAGAAAAAGAGCTGCTACTAAACTTAAATCAATCAATCTAACAGGCTAAAGGGAGCAGGGGGAGGGTTCGGGTAGAAGGAGATATTACTCCAAACAATGACTACGGGGAGAGGGTAACTCGAATCTGATTCCCAGATGAAATGAATGATGAATTACAAGCAATCGATATAACATGAAGATGAAGCTCAATGATGACGCCTGAATGAACAGCAAGGAAGTAACGAAGCAGGTCGCAAAACTGCATGCAGGTAGGGTGTGGCCGCCCCTAAAACGTTTTTCACCGTTGCCACCATACGGATCATCAGAGGGATACTCAAAATCTGTGCTCACAGCAAACACATGCGACAACAGTCCAAGCTTCCACACACTTCCATTCATAGGTAAGGGCTTAGTAGGGAGAAAGATGGTATACCGCTTCCTCGTCGCTCTGGTTCTCCGCACGGTCAGCATACATAATACCATCCAAGTCCAAAGTCGCCATGGCCAAGCATTCACAGCAATCGTCAAAAAGCTTCCATACGATACAACACAGTCATACCCGCAAGAAAGAGGTGGGGGAATAAGCAAACAGACAGTAGATATAGTGGAGGATGGCAGCATTTCTCGCGGCGGGCTAAAAAAAGGAACCGCGCAGGTGTTTTCCTTCGAAAAACTACAAAGACGGAATTCAATGAACTGTTATTCGTCAATTGGTCTAAGATTATGCAATGGAACTTGTACCGTAGTACCGACCTTGTAGCGAACCCACCAGGTGTGGTGCTCCGCTAGTGGTAGAGATGGAGATGGAGGAAGAAGGGGGGAGCGAGATGGCACAACGCAGCTCCCCACGCAAGACTCCAACGCACGTACTCCAAAATGTGCAAGTGAAGAATGAGCTCGAAAACAGACACAGGTTGGGGTATACCCCAGCGGACTGGCGGGACTGGACTGGACTGGCTGGTACCGACAGAGGTACCGGCCTGGACTGGACTGGACTTCCCCCGAATAGAACACAAGCCTGTGAGAACAAGCCAAGGGGCTGGTCTCACAGGCCAACCAACCAGAGGTCCGCTACACGATCCTCGGCCTGTGATGGATCGCCTAGATACAAACACGCTTCCGCCAAGAAGCGGAACTCTACCAAAGAAAAGAAAACCTGAGTAGTCTACGATGTGGAACAAGCTCCATGTTGAGTCCATGTGATGCAACCTAGGCTAGAAATGTCACAAAACAGCAATGTCACAGCTAACAGCCTAAGTAAAACCAGAAGCAGCTAACTAGCATACATGTCCTAGGAAAGCAGAAGCAACTAACGGGCATACATATCCTAGGAAAGCAGAAAGTAGTGACAACTAGATCCTAGAGTGTTGGAGGCAGTAGCCTCATTCTGGGAACAACTGACTAATGTATAAGTCATAAGAACAGCAAAAGCAGAACAACTAAATCCTATAAATGTCAGAGGCCGTAGCCTCAGTCTGAGAGCAACAAGGCAATTACAAATCAACCATATGTCACGGGAGGAGTGTGTCGCAAACCAAAGGGTGGGATGGTCTCTGAGGGTGGCGAATGCAGCCTAAGGGTCGAAAACTCCTAAGGGCATCCACACATAGATAACAGGGAGACACGTGTCATCAGGCTCAATGAGTAGGGAACTGGGAGCGAACAGAACCAATGACCCTAACAGATAGGCCATCAGGGCGAGTAAAGCTCGACTAAGGGGTGACCACTATGGAGGGTCGACCATGCAAGGGAACAAGGGAGCCTGGTATACTAGGCACACCTAGATGAAGCATGCGGGGCTGCCTAACTAGGGCGTGAGGGCCGGCAGAGGGTAGAAAGATGATGGGTAAGGGAATCATGCAGGTGACTCCTAAGGTGGGGAAGTCGGAGCTAGATCCGTAAGATGGGAAGCCAGGCAACGCTATGGTCCCGATGCCTATGCGTATACCAAGGGAGAGCCCAACTTAGAGGAACCCGGCTAAAGGGAGACCATCATGCGACACAAGTAGGGTACTGTACAGGGTAAAGTGGTAAGGGAGTGATCACGTCTGAAGTAGGCAGAGCTGATCGTGACGAAGTCCATGAAGCTGCTGATGACGTCCGCAATGAGAAGTCCGGAATGTCGTCGAGGAAGAGCCGCAACGTTGACGAGCTGAAGTAGCAAAACTGGAGTGGATGGAGTACTGAGAAGTCAAAGACGTGGGAAGGTAAGTCCGAGTCAATCGTCGTATTGAGCAGGACGACGACGAGTGCGTTGTGGATGCTCAAAAGCATCCGGCTGCTGCTGAAGGTCTGCCTCAGATGGAGCAGGCTCGACTTCAGTGGTCTCCTCAACCAGGGGAGGAGGAGGAGGGTCAGTGGGCTGAGGAGGAGCGGTGAACTCAGCACGACAAGCACGGTCATAGGGACGCACCAACATGCGAGCGTGCTGCAAGTGCTCGAGGGGCTCCCAGGTGGCCTCCTCATCAGGGTAACCCTTCCAACGTACAAGATACTCGATGTGGGGAGGGTTGTCGTCGGTGACTCGACGACCAATGATGTCTGAAACGAGGAACTCCTCGTGGCCGTCCACCATCAGGGGTGGAGGGTGCTCGTATGGTCGTCCAGCGAAACGCTCAGATGGTCTGCGATAAGGACGCAGTAACGAGACGTGGTAGACATCATGCACACGAGCCTGGTGTAGGTAGTTGGGCAGCTTCACACAGAAGTTGACCAGGCTAGAAGCCGTATCAAAACCGACGGCCTGGAGGATGCGGCATGGGCCAAAGAAGCGACGCCGAAACTTGCGAAGCGTGTCCGCTTCGATATGTAAGTGGCGAGCGTCGATAAGCACATCATCACCGACCTTTGAATGGGTGATCCATCCTCGATCGGTTCGCACGTGCTGCCATGCGRGTCTGGGAAGCGGCTATGTGCTCATGTGCGGTCTTCATGATCGACGTCATGTGTGCAACCCAATCATCCAGCGCGGGACAACTCGTGTCGGGGTGCATCTGTGATGGTCGAAGGAAGTCTGCGGGAACACGAGGGTGATAGCCGGGGTGCAATAGTAAGGCGACATCCCCGTGGCTAGCGAGACGGCGTGGTTGTAGGCTATCTCCGCGTAGGCAAGATGGAGATCCCACTGCTGGTCGTCACGAACAATCTTTCGGAGAATATCTCCGAGAGTCCTGTTCGTGATCTCGGTCTGACCATCAGTCTGAGGATGGTAAGACGAGGAGAAGCGGAGCTGAGTGTC